AAATGATCCGTTTGGGATTAGCGGCAGTTTTAAACACTTCTGAATGGGGACGGGGTCCAAGACCTGACCGTAAAATCTGGGTTTGAAAGTACTTAAAATAAATCCCCCGCTGCCCTGGTCTTGCTATTTAAAGGGGATTATCTAAGGGGTTTAGGAGCACACAGAGGAACAGCAGGACAACCTGTGCACCTCAATCCCCTCAAAGACCTTGGGAAAACCTTCTGAACTTCAGAGATCACAGGACACCTTCCAGCTCTCACACAGAGGTGCATCACATGCCCGGGGAAGTCCAAGGCTCCAGCTGGATGTGTTCGGGTTCATTCCCAGGCCCAGGGCAGCACACACCCTGCTCCAGAGACGCTCCCATCCTCACCGGGGACTGTCCTGTGCCCATGGTGGGGCGTACTGTCATCATCCCACAGCTGCCACCACCGCCTTACTGAGCTGAGCCCCCCCATGAGATGGAAATCCAGCTGTGCCCAGTGAGACATTCCCCCCGTGCTGGGGGAGAATGAAGGGGCGGACACTCAAAGTGGTGGTGTTTGTCTTCCCAAGTCACCATTACACGTGATGGAGCCTTGCTGTCCTGGGGATGGCTTAGCACCTACCATGGGAAGTGGTGAATTAATTCCTTGTTCTCCTCTCCTTTCCTGTGCACTTTCTGCTTTACTCATGAAACTGTATTTATCCCAACCCAGGAGTTTTCTCACTTTCACTGTTCTGATTCTCTTCCCCCATCGCACCAAGCAGGGACTGAGTGGGGCTGAGTTGCTGGCTGGGGTTAAACCACAACACCCTCTGTGGGAAAAAGCCACCCTGTGCCACTCAGACAGTGAGGGTTTTTTAATAAATACCTTTTTTTTTGCACAGAAATATACCAAGTTTTACAGAATACAAACTGCAGGGATAATGACTGAGCATCAAAGACAGAGGATGCAGAGCGCCCTTCTGTCTCCCTCCGGTCTCTTCCAGGCTCTGGCCCTGATGCTCGCTGTCAGGTCTCCCCATAACCCCAATTTGCTAAGGCTGGGGAGGGGACAGAAAAGGTGCCAGAGCTGCAAACCCCACGTCCCGCCCCAGGAACAGCTACACTGGGCAAGCCTCAGCTCTGGGCTGAGGGCACCTGCTGCGAGTGCATCGCTGGGGCCGAACAGGGTACAGGCTGCCAATGGATGGACAATAGCCTTTTGGTGCTGGTGGAGAAACTGGTGCTGTGGTGAACACCAAGTGGTGGCAGTGCTGGGAGTGTCTGGGCTGCTTCTGGTGGGGTTGGTGAGCACAACCCCCATTTTAATCCATCAGACATGACTGGGAAAGGACAGTTCCCTTGCTTGGACCCCAAAGGCAGCTGCCCAGGAAGTGGGGACACTGGTCCCACAGCAAAGCACTGGGCTTTGCCATGCCCTGGCTCCACAACCACCTGGCCAGGACTTGGCCCTGCTCCTGACTGGCATGGCTGGATCAAGGCATGGTTCCTACCCCTGTCAGCAGGCCCTTCATGCCACAGCCTGGCCACCAACCACTCTGGCCACTAGAAGGGCCAGGAGGAGAGTGAGGTGTCGCACTCCCCTTATCTGCTCTGAAGGACAAAGAGCTCCAAAGAGAGGGGCCAGACAAGGTGGAGAGGTTTGGGGTAGGGAGAGAGGAGCTTTGGCCTGTCCACAGGCTCCCTGTGCCAGCATCCCCCATCTGGGGCAGTTACCAGACAGGCCACTCTCCAGGAGAGAGGACCATCCCCACCACTTAAAGCCATGAGACCACATTTGCTTCGGGGCCATAGATAATGCTCTTGGCCAGCTCTGCCACAGCCAAACCTCCAGCTGCTCAGCACCCCACAGGGGGAAAGCAGAGGGCATCAGGAAAAGACTCTGCTACTCCAAAGTCACTTACCTCAGGTACAAGATCACCATGAGCCTTTCCCTCTTTCCAAAGGGATCTAGGAGATCAGAGAGCACCTTCCTGACTGCTCCCTAATCTCCTGACAGCACTACAGGCACCACAGGATGGACCAGACTCCCCACTCCCACTTGGCAACAAATGCACATGGGGAAAGCACCATCTCCCCAAACACAGAGTGTGGACACCAGCTGTGGGGATGGACAGAAATTTGCCACACCAATCCTGCATCCCCAATTCCCACTCAGAGCCCCGAGAAGTAGAACAGGGCACAGTGAGAACATGGGGTAAGGCTGAGCAGCAGCCCAGGGAGGCAGCAAGGCTGTTCTAATCATGGGAAATGTTATGTCTATTCGAGGGGGAAGTGAGGAAATCAAATGCACCATGGGGAGACCCCCGCGTTGAGCCAGGAACAAGCTGCTGCTCTGCTCTGGCTGCTACAGCACTTACGTGAGTGGGGAGTGAGGGGCAGGAGATGGCTGGCTGGTTCCATCCCCACAGCCCTTCCTCACCCCACCTGGGGACAGCTATTTTTGGTTAGGAGGGTAAGGCTATTGTGTGATGGCACCAGCTTGTACAAGTGAGACGGGGGCCCAACAGACACCTGAAGGGGGTCCTAGGCACAGCGAAGGGAGGGTGGATGGGTGAGTGTGAGTGTGTGAAGAGGCAGGAAGGAGGCAGACCCACTATTTGCCTGCAGCAGGGGCGGTGGCCACGATCTCTTCATACTTGGGCGGTGGGTCATTGTAGGAGACACTGGTCTCTTCGCCACTGCTGCTCTCTGGGTGGCCTGTCACCTCCTCATAGGAAGGTGGAGGGGTGGCACTGGACAGTCTGGAGAGAACGGAGACAGAATGCTCTGGTGGGTAGAGGGTGCCATCCTGCTGGGGGGTGCCCCCAGCTCTGCCATCTCCTCCAGCCACCCGGTTGTTGGCTTCTCGCTGGTACTGGGTTTCCCCTTGGCTTTGCGACCGCTCCCGGTACACCATGACCCTGGGAAGGCTGCGTCCCGTCCGGCTGGCCAGGTATCGGTTCTGGGCATAGGAAGGGCGGTGGCGGGTAGCCTTTTGAAGCTGGCATCTCCAGATGATGAAGAGGGCGATGACTATCAGAAGAGCCACTCCCAAGAGGGGCACCACCACATACATAGCATCGGAGCGCTCCGTGCTGTGCCCGGGGTCCTTGACAGAGTAGACAGAGCTGGTGTAGCCCTTCCAAAACTCCATCTGTGGCAGGAACAGAGAAACAACCATCAGGTGCTGCAGGTGGGAGAAGTACCCCCTGATCACCACTAGTGATAACCACTGCCCTCCCTAGGCCCATAAAGTGGCACCTTTTCAGATGTTCCCCACCACTTTCACCTGAAGGGCTGTGAGAACCAACACAAAAGATCATGGGAACATCCCTCAGCAGTGGCCAACAGCCCTCACACTAAACAGGGAGAAATTTAGCTCACCAACCCCAGGCTGGAGAGCTGGGGACATCGGCACAGATTTCCCACATACGTCGTGGGAGTGCCAGCTCAACCTGCAGCTGTGGGCAGAGTGTCCTGGCACAACCAAGGTGAGACCATTGCCTGGGAAGGGAAAGCCATGCTGGAAAGTGAGGCCACAGCATGCTGCCTGCAGACAGAAGAGAACAAAAGGAACAGGAGAGGCTGTTCCCCCCATGCTTTCTTTCTCTGTCTCCAGCTTGCTGAGGCATGAGCCCTCACACATCCACTGGGGAGCAGGGCAGGACAAACGCACCGTCTTCTCCTTGTTCTCAAACACCTCCTTGACCTCCTCATAGCTGCAGACCTCCTCGATGCACTCCCGCTCGATGGTGCCCTGACGAATCTCCTCCAGGAAGCCATTGGCTCTGGGAAATCGTTTCAGGACCGAGTGGCGATTCCTGGCCCTCAAGAACACTGAAACCAAGAACACTGCAACACAGAAGGCAGAAACATGCTGAGCAGGTACAACACCATACCTGGCCTCTGCCCAGCCAGGCTTTTCCACCTGGCTTCCTGGTGCTACAGGCATCCCCAACACCAAAAGCCCAGGGCTACAATTCAAGTGGCACAGCAGAGTGCCCACTGTGGGAGAGCACACCCAGAGGGGCACAGGGCTCTTGGAGTCTGCTCAGAGACATATGGCACCAGGAGCCCTTCCATCAGGGCTGAGATGCTAGAGACATTGGAAGCAGAGGCTGCAGCCACAAAGAGCAACTGAAGAAGAGAAAGAAGGCTCCAAAAACATTTATTTTCTGCCTCCTGCCCTTGACGGATTTCATGTCTCTGCCCCTTTACTGCAGGGCAAGGAAGATCCCAGCAGGCAAGGAAGACCCTGTCGGGCTGGGATGCAGAGCCAGGCCTGTGCCAAGACACGGGGACAGCACTGCGATGGACTTACAGCACACAGTTCATTCCAGCCCCCTGTGCATCCCCCCGAGCCTCCTCTCTTGCCTCACAACCCCTAGGAGGGGGGCAGAAAGTCTGCTGGAAGCTGGTGTCCCTACTGCCAGCTGCTGAGGGGTCATGCAAGTTCAGGTGGCTTCAAGGACTCTGTTCAGGTCCTAGAGAAACCACTGTGTCTTCTCCCAGGCCAACAAGGACAAACATCCCCAACACACAAGGACAGTGCAGCAGGCCACGACTCAGGTACTGAAAGAGGCCTGAGCAGCCTCTCCTCACATTCTCACCCCTACTGTGTTTTGGTGCAGAGGTCTCACAAACCTCCCTCTGCTCTCAAAGCCTGGGAGACTCCTCAGGTCTTCCCACAGAGCATGCAGTCAGGAATCCAGAGTGAGCAGGAACAGCACTTTCCTGCCTGGAAGAAAGATATCAAAGCCGCTCCCCTCATATTCTGCAGAAGGGAGACCTCCATGGGGTGCCAGAGGCAAGCACCTACCAGGACCTGCAGCAGCACAGGAGGCAAACAAGCTGTTGCCCAGAACAAAGTATGATCCTTCCAGGATCCAAACATCCTGTTTCATGAGTGTTTCCATAATGCAGCTTAACACAGTCTGCTGTAGGCTGGCTCCATCTCTTCCCACCACGCCACAAAACCATGCTGCTTCCCCTGAGTATGATGAATCAGTTCAGCTGTTTAATCCACAGAAACCTATTTACCATTTACTGAGCCTCCAGGCTCTGTCTTCCGTTGGATCAACAAGGTGAACCAATTCATACAGCAGCAACAGCAGCAGCAGGAAGACAAGGAGGCAATGGGACAGACAGAGTCTCCCATATGACCTGCTTGGCACTAACAGAAATACTTCTATGAGGAGCTTGGTGAAGATCAAACAGTTAGGTAAAGAACTTCTTTCCGTAGAAGCCTTTTGCCAGAGAGACTGGCAGGTTTCCTTCTGCTTTACCTTCCATGTATCCTGCTCCTAAAACAATACAGCAAGATATTTGTGAGAGTATTTGTAACTGTTGACAGGGACAAGATCATGGTGTAAGAAGCAACTAGTATTATGCTACACCATCCTGTGCTTAGAGGCCTTGTGCTCCTTTTGTGCTGTGTAGGTGCATTTTCCCCTCATGATTTATTAATGGTTTGCTTCAGCGAGAGAGTTTGCAGAGGCCTGAACCACTGAAGTGTGAATGAAGAGCAGCATGAATGATGTGAGTCACAGATCTTTCCTCAGAAACGACTTTATTATGCAAACTTTTTTTTTTTTTTTACAAGGACAACCGAAAAAGCATTTTCAAGAGGCACAGAAGGCATCTTGAAGAAGGGCAGGGATCAGCTTGCCTTGGCTTTCGCAGTTGAGGAGGGCTATCCCATCTGGAGAGGGAGCAGGAAGACCTTCTCTTGAGCCTTTCCAGAAGGAGATGAAATTTTACAAAGACACCATCCATTCTGCAAATGTCCCATCCTTTGCTGGAGAAGTCTGTCCTCACCTCCTTTGCCTCCCACCTTGATCTGGCTGCAGTATCAACTCTCCCTTCCTCAGCACTTGAGCCTGAGACTCTTTCTGACTTCCTCAGCACACCTTGGAGCAACAAGCTTGGCTGCAGATCTCTCTGTCAGGGTTTTCCATCCCTGCAGACACCAGTCACTTGACCCCTTCCCTGCATTGCCATGCTGAACTGGCCGCTATGGTGGGAAATAAAAACAGATACACAGGCAGGCAGGTATCACAAACAGTGTCCTAAATGCAAGCATGCTGTGACAGAGGTGTGTGCCTCTCCCCACATGCAATCTCCCTCAGGGACCTAAAAATGGCAGGCGAGCAGAAAGTTAGTCACTGCTCCCTCCCCTCTTTCACATGAAAAGTGCAAAGAGCTCCCATGTGCCTGGGGACCAGAGCAGGAAAACCACTGGCCTTCAGGAAACAAGAGCCTTGCTCATCTCCAGCCTGGATTCCCAACTGACATGCAGAGCAGACAGCCAAGCAGGTCATGTCCCCAAACCACAGGGCTGAGGGGACTTCCCAAGGCCCAGCAGCCTTAGTACTGATCCCCTGTGCCTCTCCAAGTCTCCCCACACCAGCTGGAGAACCAGTGCTCAGGAAAGATCAGAGCTTTAGGCAGGGGAAGCAGGAGCAAGGGATGGCTTCATCTCATCCCTGCTGCGTTTCCTGGGGTGCTGCTGGTCCCTGGTGGGCACCACCCCACGTCTTGGCTGCCCAGCTTGGGGGGACACCCCCAGGGCTACTTCTCTGGAGAAAGACACGTGGCTGTGGCGGGACAGACAGGGCTGCCAGAGAGCATGTGATGGCGAATATGCTCAGCAACACATCCCCCCTCCTGCACATCAGGGTCACCATGAAGGGGACTGCTTGGCAGGGGACACCTTTCACAACCAGGAAATGCTGGTAAGTCAGCACCTGAGCTTTAGGAGGGAAAAAAGGCAGCAGTGGAGGAAGGCAGGGACCCAGCTGTGCACCCTCCTCATTAACTGAAGATGAAAGCAGCCTTTTAAAAACACTGCCTGAAGATCTCTGCTCCCTCCCCCACCTAGCACAGCACAGATAAGGAAAGAAGACATACCTGTCATCCCTGGGGTCCTCCTCCTCCCTTGCATGGCTACTGCATCCTCCTTCATAGCTGGCTGTGGCGACACTCCGACCAAATCCTGAGATCCCAGATAGATCTCTGTATCTCCCCATTCACTCTTGCTGTCTTAAGCTCCCATCACACTGCTGCATGCAGCCTCTGCTGCCCAGGAGAGCGAGGAGGGAGGGTTGAGCTCAGCTCTGTACAGACCACACACTATCCTCCACCCTGCACCCTCACCAGTCTCAGCCCAGCTGTAGCCACTGGGCAGCCCCAATGGCCAAGCACTGCACTAGGTGTGCCACGGTGAGCTCCTGGTGGGGCTGAGCTCGGCAGCTGCCCATCCACAGGAATGCAGAGCCCCAGTGCCACCAGTCACACAGGCTACAGAGCAGTGTGGCCCCCAGGATGGGCACTGGTGGAGTGCCAGTCATGGGCTGTGAGGAGGGAGCACTGTTGCTGGGAGATGTCAGCACGGATTGGTATCCCCTGGAGAGGGGCTGGGCAGGCCAAACAGCCTCAGAGAGGCCTGTCCTGCACAGCAAGCACCGCACAAAGAGAGAAATGCTGTGGCCTACAGGTAGTCCTGGAGAGGTCAGCTCTCCAGCACCTCCTTTCAGCTCCCACCTTGCAGAGGGGAGAGAGAAGCACAAGTCAGGCTGGACCTCAGACCTTGTCCAGGGGTAACAGTCAATGGCATCTGCTCCCCAGAGAGGGTAACACCTCCCAAAAATCACAGGCACCCCTTCCTTGAGAGGTGGCTGCCAAACATCCCCCTTCTCTCCTCCAGCACCACTGCCACCTCTCCATCTTGCCCAGAAACACTTACTTGCCATGCTGCCTCACTCGGCTACGGAGGGGCTCCTGCCTACCTGCAGGGAAGAAAACAGGAGAGTCACTGACAGATTAAATTTCACCCCCTGGAGCCCCAGACCTCTACTGCCCAGGGTCAGATTAATGCAGAAAGCAGGGTGCTGACTGGTGGACCCACAACAGATCCTAGTCAAGCTCTGCACAGAGCCAAGGACTTCAGTTGCCTCCCCAGTCATCACAAGGCTGAAGGGCTCAGGGACCCTCAGCTCCTGGACCAGGGCCTTGCCCAAGAAGCCCAGAAGGCTGCAGACAAGCAAAGTAGGAAGGGAAGAACTGGATGGAGGATAGACCCCATTTCTCATCAGCAGACGAGATGACCTAAGTGTCAGAAGCTGCTGGGAGCAGTCTAGTGCTCTTTCATTCCACAAGAGATTGATGGATACAGGTAAAGCTGTCTTCCTGTTCTAGAGCAACTTCACAGCCACGCCAGTTCTCGCTGCTGCAACTCCTACCCGCAATCTGCAATGAACAGAGCCATGCTGTTTGCTCCATTACTGCCATTAAGCTGACTGCACAGCAGAAAGGGAAAGGCCACACATCTCCTGAAGGCTCTTGGGCTAAAGGCAGAAGAGAGAGTGACAGAGCTCCCTGCACACCCAGGACAACAGCTCTCCAGCTGCAAAAGCACTTTTAGAGCTTCAAAAGCTAAACTAAACTAAGCAAAACCCCACAAGAGTGAAACAAAGTCCTGCAGAAGCAGAAGATATCCCTTCCTGCTTGCAGGAGTTTCACCCACTTGTTTTTCATGCTTTGCCTTCTCCCTGTGCTCAATGCCCCACAAATCCGACCACCCTGGGCTAACTCTCACTTCATGTGACACCTTGCTGTGGCAAAGCCACAATTCTGTCAGGAGATGGAGAGAGGGGACAGGACTAACCAGCTCCTACAGTGATTTATTGTGGATGAAGGAGCAAAAGCAGTTAGAAACAGCAGGAACTAAACCACATGCTGGTACCAGGTCCAGGACTTCAGATATTCAGTTATTCAAAAGCACTTGGATCTGCTCAGCTGGAGCGAGGTCAGGGACAGCACAGAGCTGTTCACAGGGTCAGCAGGGCTGGAAAAACAGCTCTTTCACATAAAAGCAGGCACGCAGGCACACAGAAGGGCTGGTGCTGCAGACCATCACAGCAGGCACCACCACACCTCATAATAGCCACCTTCGAGCAGTAAATCGAGCACCTGTCAACACCAGGTCTCCTGTGGCTTCCAAGGTTCCTACACCATAAGTGGCAAGAAGGCAAGCAAGCCTGGGAGAAAGCAGCTTCTTTCCAATACTTTGTGAAGCTCAGAGTGCAAACCTCAGTCTGGAGTTGAAGCAAAAGTGAGGGGAAGCAGCAGTGCACCAGAACTACATAGGAGGGGTTTGCTGCCTCCTGTAATCCACAGCCCAACCCTGCTGCTCTGAGCCCTTCTGGGGGATGCGAGAGGCGTCTGGATCCATGCCATCCCTCACAGTCCTCTGGATCCATGTATTCCCTTATGGCCCTCCAGATCCACACATTCCCTCACAGGCTGTGTCAGCTCTGAGCAGGGACCACCTGACCTGCTTTTGTTGTCATCAGTTTTTACGAAGAGAAGGTTTCCCCCAGGATAAAAGAAAGCACAGCATGGAGAACTTGCCACAGTTCCCACACAAACCCTTTGTATCCCTCATTGTTATAGGCATTCTCCCCCTTTGATGGGCAGGAGAACAGAGACACAGAAATAAGGATATTTGAGACCAGATTTGTCAAGCCCCCCCCAACTCCATAACCCACATCATACATCAGGCAACAAATTCAATATTGTTTAATTTAATTTACAGTCTTTTACTTTTTTCCAAGTATCTGTGTCAATGCACCCAGTTCCAGAGCTCAGAGATGGTTCATTCCAGCGCAAACAATAAGGCAGATCCACACAAACCTACAGGCTGACATCCCAGACGCTTACTTTGATTTCCACGTGCGAATTCCTAACCACCTCCCCTGGCTCCAGTGAGCAGGAAAAGCTGGAGCACCACACACACGCTGACGCCAAGGGGAGCGGCATCCCTCCTGCCCCCACACAGCCGCGCAAGCCGAGAGAAGCCTGAAGCTGGAGGCTGACCTAGCAGACGCCCACCCAGCCCCAGTCCCCCCCTCCGGCTTCCCATCCTCTATAAATACCCCATCGATGGGAGGTTGCTAAGGCAACGGTGAGGAGGCGAGAGGGATACAGCCATGGGAGTGAGGATGCTGCAGTCGCACATTTGT